TGCTAGCTCCTCCCACTCCCACCTGAAATAACCCTGCGCTTCAAAGTTTAGCCAGGGGACTAATTAAACCCTCTGAGAAGCTGGTACACAAAGGTAAGCCTGTTAGCTTCGGTGGGCGTTTACGTAACGCCTGCCAAGACCAAGGCTACTTTCTGCTGTCTGTCTGTCCACACACACACACACACACACACACACACACACACACACACACACACACACACACACACACACACACACACGTGCAGCAATGTGAAAGACGTAGTTGGCTCAGAGTGTATTATGTGTAAAGGTTTAGTGCCCAAAGTAGCAGAGATGATACTGTATGGGGTCACTACTGGCTAATCTGTAATGCCATACTATTGGCTGAAGAAGCTGTGTCTGACATGGAAGTCAACAAGTCCAGCTCCTGTGTTACTTCTGAGGATAGAAAGTGATATATCGGTACCCACTGTACCACCTTATTGTGTTTATAAGACTCACTTGTGTGATGCAATCTGTGATACATCCTGTTCCAATCTTTTGTTTTCATTGGCACCCTGTCAGAGAGGTGTTGATTTACAGTCATACTAAATGTCATGAAAGGTTGTGAAAGGATTGAACTGTTTCTAAAGGGATAGTTTGGATGTTTTGTTGTGGGGTTGTGTGACGTACGTATCCAGTCAGTGTAGGTCAATTCACACTGCGAAGAAAACATGTTCAAACCACCTAAAATAATGGCCCACCTAAAACAATCAACATGAGTTTAAGAGTACACTATATTTAGATTATGTTCACCGCTTAACTTACAGTCAGACAGCCCTTTCTGACGGGAAACTGCTATCTCTGCTCTATTTAAAGCTACCAGACCTCAATGATAAAAAAACTATAATTGACTTTGCAGAACACAGAAGTTGCTGGTCTGCCACGATCGGATAATGTGTTTGTGTTACTGTGCAACTTGGGTTAGATTGAATGCATTTGAACCATGACATGTAACAAGTGACATGTAACCAGAAGGTGAAGACCAAAAACACATTGTCATGTATCTTCCAACTCTTACTGTATGTCTTTGAGGAACTCTATAAATACAATTAATCTTGGCATGACTTGTTGCTGCTGACCTTTGACTCAAACACACATACACGCTCAATAGGCTGGGTACTTTTTTTTGTAAGGTTGTATTGCCTTGTTATTGCGCTGTTGTGCCCATATTTGTATTTTTATGTACAGTAATGAAACCAGGAAATGAATCAGCTTTTTACCCCTTCCAGTTCCCTCGTCTAGAAGTCAATTTATTTTTTGAACATAGTTCTCGTTGGAAGCCTGATATAAGGTCTGTTGTTAATACAAGCTGAAGAGATTTCCACATTTTGTTCTTTGACATCAAATATGTAAAAACTCAAATCGTAAATGTCCAACGCTTTTTTAAATTAAAAACGGTAGTTGCTAATAAGTGACTAAATAAACGACTAAACATCATGACGCCGAACATTAGCCACCTTTTAGCTTAGCGGTGGTGACGCAGCCATGGAACCATGATGTAGTTTATAGCATAACTTTGGCTTTTTGTTTCTGCTGATTGCATCTAAATTCAATAATCACACATTTGTGTAAATATGTGGAGCAATATATCAAGCCCGTGCGATGCTAACTTCCAGGTTGCCCTACAAAAATACGTCATCACTCTGTATAAAAAGGAAAACATGTCTTATTAAAGTATGATGTAGATACTGAGTCATACTTGTCAAGGCATGTCCAGAAGTAGAAGTTCAAAGCAGGTACACGCTTAAAAGGACACTTTGATATTACGAGTGGCTGTTGAGTGCCTTGCAGCTTCATTTATCTTTAATCATCTGAGACATTTTCCCCTTTCCCTTTTTAGGAGCTCCTATGTGAGGCTGAGACACCTGTGCACCAACACGTGGGTCCACAGCACCAACAACCCCATCGACAAAGAGGAGGAGAAGCCTGTTATGTTACGAGTGAGTAGCTGATGACTAGATAAAGACGTTTAGCATGACTGAAAAGATAAACCAACACATTTCATTTATTTTGTTCAGATTGGAACCTCAGCAGTGAAAGAAGACAAGGAGGCTTTTGCCATCGTACCGGTGCCGCCAGCTGAAGTGCGTGATTTAGACTTTGCCAATGATGCGAGTAAAGTGTTGGCCTCCATTGCTGGGAAGCTTGAAAGGGGCACCATTACACAGAATGAGAGAAGGTAAGTGGGGACGGTTTGTTAAGTATGTAGTTGTGAGTGTCTAATACAAAAACACCAAGATATCACTGATGTAGCTGCTCTACAGTATATCTCCCTGTTTCTAAAATGGTATTTTTCTGTCTGACTACTCTTCAGGTTTGTGACCAAGCTCCTGGAGGATCTAGTTTTCTTCGTGGTGGACATCCCCAACAGTGGGCAGGATGTTTTGGAGATCATGGTTAACAAACCCAACAGAGAGAGACAGAAACTCATGAGAGAGCAGAACATCCTGAAGCAGGTTGGTTTTAAACCTCAAACATTTTAAGATGACAACATTTTTTGGCAATTAAAATTCTCCATTTCCCTTTCAGATTTTCAAACTCCTCCAAGCCCCTTTCACAGACAGTGGCGACGGTCCCATGCTGCGGCTGGAGGAGCTCGGAGACCAACGTCACGCTCCGTTCAGACACATTTGCAGGCTCTGCTACCGAGTGTTACGCCATTCCCAGCAGGATTACAGGAAGAACCAGGTTGGTGGTCACAACAACGTCAGCCCTGATACTCGGGCCTTCTCTTAGCTGTAACCTGGTTCCTTTTCTTTTCAGGAATACATAGCCAAACAATTCCGCTTCATGCAGAAACAGATAGGATACGATGTGCTGGCAGAAGACACCATCACAGCTCTGCTCCACAACAACAGGAAGCTGCTGGAGAAACACATCACTGCTGCCGAGATAGACACCTTTGTGACTCTAGTGAGGAAGAACCGGGAGCCGAGGTGAGGCTCAAAGGAAGGGAGAGGAACCGTTTGGTGTCATAAAGTGGGATAGGAGCAGCGGGTGTGGGCAGTCTGGGTCAGATTGGGTTGTGTTACAGCTGCTATGCAAATTCATCCACATGTGTGCAGAGGAGTATGAGTGGAACTGCTTGTGTGTGACCTTAGCTAAGTTCGGCTCAATGCTTATGAAATGTTAAAGTCCTGTTAAAGGGGACCTATCATGCAAAATGCACTTTTTGATGTCTTAACATAAAGATGTGTCCCCGGTGTGTCAGGGAACTCACGCAGCGTCAGAAAATAAAACCCTCTCTCTTTACCTCCGTACCCAAATCTCTAAAAACGGGGAAACAACGGAGCTGATCAAGATTTGCGTCTGATATGACGTAATATCGGAAATGTAGGTTGGCTTTACACCCATGGCCCTATCAGAAACAATGCCCGACTGTTTTGGACGTAATATGGTCGGTGTTTACATTAGCATCGCTAACACTCAGAGCTAACCTGTACTGGAGAGCATGTGTGTGAAGAAGCAGGAAATAAAAAGGAACTCACCTTGTGGTATAACCGGCAAGAGAGAAAGCCTTTGAGCTCCATACTGTTTCAGAAATAATCCTTGATAATCGATAATCCATGATATGGCGTTTCATCACAGCAGTATCTGCCGGTAAAATCTCCCTCTTGAGGTCAGCCCCCTCCTTTTTTATTTTTGTGTATATTTAAGGCTTTATACCCAAAATCAGCACTTTTGAAACAGGAAGTGAAATAGAGGGATATGAGGCATGGCTACAATGAGTGATCTGTTTGGTATTTTGAGCAAAACACTTCATAGACATGTTTTTTATATATTTGTATATCTGAGACCTATGCTATTGCCTAAAAATAGCATGATAGGTGAACTTTAAGGGCTGTTGATGAGATCTGAACCAGGCTGACCCAGGAGTGAGTCTGGGCCAAAGAGGACCTCACATTTAAACTGGACAGAAAGACTGAGAGATACCAAAGGCATTAGGATTTCATCTACTCATGAATGGATTACTAAACATGTCAGGGCCTCCATGCAGACCCAAAATGACCACAAAGAAACACAAAATGACTTAAAAAAGACACAAAGTGACTTCAAAGAGATACAACATTATCAAAAAAGGGACACAAAATAACTGAAATGTGACAATTACAGACTTTAAGTTATCACAAAATGAAAACGTAAGAACTCAAAACATCATAAAAGACAGAAGACGACCAGAAGGAGACACAAACGCCATACAAAGTACTGTAGGCTTCAATGACTTTAAAGCCTGTATTATAATTGAACAATTGAACATGCATATCTCATAACTCCGTTGCCATTGTAAAATAATTGAAACATCCAATTTCTTGTAATCTGTTCCCAGGTTTCTGGACTACCTCTCAGATCTCTGCGTGTCCATGCAGAAGTCCATCCCTGTGACACAGGAGCTCATCTGCACCGCTGTGCTGGACCCCTCCAATGCTGACATCCTCATCGAAACAAAGTTAGCTTCTCGTTTCTATTCACTGCTAGATTTACTGCTAATCTGAGATATAACCCACTGGACCTGAACTTTAACACCACACACACACACACACACACTCACTCACTCACTCACTCACTCACTCACTCACTCAAATCCAGACACTTTTCACGCTGCTATTGACAATCTTGCACTAATGCACATTCTCAAAGATTTTGAAGTGACTGTTATTTTGTATATATTGATTGTTGTGCTTTTAATGATGTCTAAATGTGTGCATATGTATAAATGTGTATGTATACATATATATAGGTATATACATATTTTTATATATCTTGTTATTGTATTCGGGATTGTGGGAAACGGTATTTCGATCTCTCTGTCTGTACACACAAACTGAAAGATTGACAATAAAGTTGACTTTGACTAACACTCACAAACGGCTGTGTTCACCAGGTTGGTTCTGTCGAGGTTTGAGATCGAGCCGGTGGTAAATGGAGATAGTCCGTTGGAGGCCGAGGATGAGGAGGAGGTCTGGCTGTTCTGGAAAGACAACTGTAAGGAGATCCGGAGTAAGAGCGTCAGGGAGTTAGCTCAGGATGCTAAGGAGGGCCAGAAGGACGACCAGGAGGTGGTCAGCTACTACAGGTGACTTCTTTGACTATGTTCGTATTGCTTTGATTGAAGTTTTTATCAAAGTAAGGTTATATACACCAGTGCAGTACATTTCAAAGTTATTGAAGGGAGATTATAATATAATGTGAATTTGGTTGAAATCTTATTTTGAGCTTGACCTAAATATTGCTTATTTCTAAATTTGAATTAAAATGTAAATATTGCTGTACAGCGGGGGTGTGACATTAAGTAGAAGAGTACAATTATGAAAAATATAAAAATTCCGACTCTATTATTGCACTTTCATTTTGTTCAAGTTAACATAATCAGTCCCCCATGGGCTTCAAAACAAGCAACCACATGTCTGATTAGAAGTGGCAATCATAAACATTTCATTTAATGGTACATAACCAAACCATCATCTTCTGACTTTGTTTTTTGATGTTAAACTCCAAATCAGTGCTTTTTGAAAAACACAACACCCCATACTCACAAAGTAATACTCAATGATATTCACTATGACAATGCTGTCAAATAAACATGCTCTTATAATGACTCTAAACGCTTGCTCTCAGGTGCCAGCTGAACCTCTTCGCCCGGATGTGTCTGGACCGTCAGTACCTGGCCATCAACAAGATCTCGGGTCAGCTGGATGTGGATCTGATCCTGCGCTGCATGTCGGATGAGGATCTTCCCTTCGACCTGCGGGCGTCCTTCTGCCGCCTCATGCTGCACATGCATGTGGACCGAGACCCTCAGGAGCAGGTCACGCCTGTCAAATACGCCCGTCTGTGGTCGGAGATCCCCTCTCAGATTGCTATTGACGAGTAGGTTTTTCAAGATTAAAGTTTCAAGGCTTTTATTGTCATGTGTGCAAAGCTACAGTGAGATTATGACTAGGAACGTCTTAGGTCACAGGCTCCTCCGACAGTGCAACACAATAAAACAGAAAAAGTAAATACAAATAAAACAGAATAGAATAGAAACAGTGAAAGAATAGTCTACATACAAGTACCGTAATTTTCAGACTATAAGCCGCGCCTTTTTTCCCATTTTTCGACGCTGCGGCTTATATAACGGTGCTGCTAATCTATGGATTTTTACAGCTAACGGCCACTAGGGGACCTCCTAAATCTATGGATTTTACAGGTTACAGTCCACCACCTTTAACTCTATGGGTTCTATGGCCGGTCCGCGCCCCCCACCTTTAAGCGGCGGGCTCCAGCAGGAAAAGCTGGAGGCCGGAAAAGAGTGAGACAGGTAGCGCGCAAAAGTAAAAGTGGAACCGAGAGTGGTACGAGAGACAGAACGAGAGCAAGACAGACAGACATTACGAGAGCGAGACAGTTTGTCCCCGTACCACTGGTTGAAAACCACTGCTGTAGATCACTGCCGGTACGTGCGCTGGGAGCGCACCGTTTAAGTTTGAAAGTTGAAAAGTTTGTGTGTCTGAAACGCTATGTGATACAGTACAGTTTACACAGCACAGTACATGTTCTGTAGCTACTATTGCACTAAATGCTAACACTTGAATACGTTATGCAAATATGCAACTTGTTTGTTGAAATGTTAATAAATGGGAGCTTCCTCAAACAGCCCTCTCTTTCCCGACAATCCCCTCTGTGCACGAACCCTTACATATGGTAATTAAACATTAAAACACCTGCGGCTTATAGTCCAGTGCGGCTTATATATGTACACATCATTCAATTTAGCTGCTGCGGCTTATATTCAGGTGCGCCTTATAGTCCGAAAATTACGGTAATTGTAATATGATATATTAGATACATTTTTTGTTTTGTTTTAAGTTGCAAACAGATGAATGCTATGAATGTTCATCCCGTGAATACGTGAATTAACTTGTAATCCATTCCAAAGACGTCCCAGCACCCTCTAAGATGTGTTTCTCCTCTGATTACCCAGCTACGACAACGATGGGACCACCAGGGATGAGATCAAAGAGCGCTTCTGCCTCACTATGGATTTTGTGGAGAACTACTTGAGGGAGGTGGTGTCACAGAACATCCCGTTCGCCGACAGGGAGAAGAACAAGCTAACCTTTGAGGTACTGCCTCCTTTATCCATGCTATAAACACATAAGGCGTCCCACTGGTTTGATTACATAATAAATCTTCGATCTCATCTTGTCCATAGGTAGTGAACCTGGCGAGGAACCTCATATATTTCGGTTTCTACAACTTCAGCGACCTGCTCCGACTGACCAAGATCTTACTGAACATTTTAGACTGCGTTCATGTCAACACCATTTACCCCATCAACAAGATGGAGAAGGGAGAGGAAAACAAAGGTAAAGATCCCCCTCCTTTAGGCCTTATTCCCTATAGAGAGGTGAAGTCCCTCCCTTCCCGGGGGAGCTCCATGGGACCTTATTTCGGAAAAATTATGTATTGAAGTCAATGGAGAGAGAAAGATTATATTTGGATCCCGTTTGAATTGTGCCACGAATTACACATATGATGTTTTACAAGTCAATTTTTTTTAAATTTGTCGTAAAACTGGGTGCTCAATGAACTACATCTCCCGTCTCGCACCACACACCAATAAGACCGTCACGTTGGCACATTTCACTTCTTTCTTTCAGAATGAGGCGAAAAGTGTTAAAAGAGGTGAAAATCACTCCAAGTCTGGGCATGTTGAGAGCTGTACATACACACAAGGGGAGTTAGTCGGTTCCGTAAGANNCTCCATGGGACCTTATTTCGGAAAAAGTATGTATTGAAGTCAATGGAGAGAGAAAGATTATATTTCGATCCCGTTTGAATTGTGCCACGAATTACACAGATGATGTTTGTCAATTTAAAAGATAATTTTGCAAAATTGTGTCGTAAAACTGTGAAGTAACACTTTTTTTGGTGCTCAATGAACTACATCTCCCATCTCGCACCACACACCAAGAC